AGCATGTCACAATGGTGGGTCCTGTAATTACATTGTAGCACAAATCGGCAGAACGAGTTATACAATGTATTGAGTTTATTAATGTGGGATTGCGATGCAGTTGCATATACTACATCCCCATAATCAATGATTGGCATCAGTATTTGCAGTACAATCTTCTTCTTTACTGTAGGGCTTAGACAGGATTTGTTTCTGTACAGGGCACCTAATTTTGGATAAAGTTTAGATGCAAGCTTTTCTATGTGCAGGCCAAAAGATAGATTGGGGTCTAACATCATACCCAAGTATTTGAAAGAGTGGACTGCGATCAGTGTGCCATTTGAATTTGTTTTGATGGATAGGTGGGAATTGTGTAATTTGTGTAATTTAGGCACTGTTCCAAAGATCATTGTGACAGTTTTGTCAGTGTTTAGGAAGAATCGCAATGTTTTTTGCGATCCACTTTTATACCTCTGTAAACTGTTCTTGGAGCACAGCCTCAAGCTGCCGTAGATCGGATTTACTTGCATAGATTACTGTGCCGTCTGCCTACATGTGTACATTTGAGGATTTGGAGACATTAGGCAGATAATTATAAATAATGTGAATAGTTGGGGGCCGAGAATGGAACCTGTGGAACACCACACGTGACTGGGAGAGGGAGTCGCTGTCAGAAATGGACACATATTGTGAGCGATCCGATACATAGATTTGGAGCCCATGTAAACACTGGAACCAAAGTAATCTGTGGAATCTTTAAATACGGAGGACAGCAGGATCTCCAGACACCAGAATGACAACTTTTATTCCATTAAACAAAGATGGTGTGTCTCATAGCCCTAGGATCACTAAAATGTCCTAAGTACCCCAATGGTACTGTGACCCAAGCAGGGAATCATTTAAACACTGCAGATAGAAACCGGTGACTGGTAACACATTATTGAGATGCAATGTATAGCCCATTTTATTGTAAAACACTTTTGAGAAAGCCTCTTGCCAGGTGAAATGCGTTAAGTGTATTTATTATTATCTACTTCACTTTGAGTGTATATTTCTTGTCTTATATTTTTATATTAATTACCTTTAAATAAAATTACATTTTTTATTGGAACAAACTTTGCTGCTATTCTGCTTGAATTACTGTATCCATGGTGGGGATTGTTCCACCCAAGCCCGAAGGATAGAGCAGTCCACATCTGCTCCATCGAATGTGAGTAAATTTCTTACCACTTTAATTGTATTCTGTTCCGTACGGTACACACTATTTTCGTTTTTCTTTGTCCTTTTTCTCCTATATTTCTGGATGGAAAAGACAAGTATCTATACCTACAAGTGTGCACTACACTATAATATCCTAATCCCATGTCCACAGAGCTGCTTATGTTTCCACCATTTAAATGACCGCAACCACCAAGAACCACACTATATCCATAGGAGGGGACTGTTCCGCCCAGGCGTTTAAGTTGGAGCTACAGTTTTAACTCCAGGAAATTGTGAGTATATTTATTTTGTTTTATTTTATTTATTTGGACAGTGACATACTACACCGTATATTTTCCTTTTTTTTTTTTTCCTGCTTTTATATATATTTTTGAGGACACTTTAGGCGCTGTACCACTTCTTGTACTTTCATCTGTTTGTGGTAA